TTAGCTTTAGAATGATCTGACTATGATTGAAATCCAAGTTTGTATGCTTGCTAGGGAAGACAAAAAATTTCGAAACAAGATGTTTTCCTTAGTGGCAATTTAGCGAAACTGGAAAGGAGTTGAGGAGGTTCTTGGGAGCGCGAGGAGGGTATACATCGCGACTACCCACACCTGTTTGATCTAGTAAATTAAATTTTTGTATGACTTGTTTATGGCTTATGGTTGCATGTATGGTGATGTTTATACTTAACACTAAAATGAGAGTATTACCACCTATCTCCTAAGTACTTGGAATATATGGTATATATATGAGGGGTTCCTTGTTTGGATTTTTCACTCGATGTACTTATTCCATTTAGTTAGTTGTTAAGTGAGGGTATTTACATTTTAGATGGTTAAGTGTAGACATCGAAGATGATTTTCGGGAGCGCAAATATGTTATGTCGCGCGACTTCCAGCATCTATTGAGGAAGTGGACTGATTTATGTGTGCAATTATTTGTGTGGTTATATTTAGATTTAACGCTAGAATAAGGATATTTCCGCTTAATTCTTAATCTTTTGAAACACATGGTATATATATGGGGAGTTCCTTGTTTGGATTTTTCGTCCGACGTACTAGATCCATTCGATTAAGGGTTGAGTCGGAATATAGTCATCCAGGATTGTTAAATATAAATATCCCTATATGCTTATCAAGAGTAAATATTCTGAGATATTTATGTTTGTGGGTTAAATTAGACCATCAACGTTCTTTTCTAGTATTATTATTTTCTTAAGTATGATTTCTGAATTTCGAGGACGAAATTCTTTTAAGGGGGAAGAATGTAAAACCCCAAAAATTTGAATATTTTGTGATAAATAATAATAAATATGTTATATATTTATAAATAATATATTATGATATTTGAGTATACTAGGAATTGGTTTCAGATCAATTCAATGTATATATGTATATATATATAAAAGCAAATGCACAATTCATGTTCGATGTATAAATCTGAAAATTTATGACTAGCGAAGAGATTTTGTATTTTTCTCATAGATGTAGTTGTAATTTGGAAAACCATAAAGATAAAAGTTGTAGGTATCTTCAAGAGATTTCCAACAAGTCTTAGATCACCTCATTACGAGGTTGGACGTGAAAGTTATTGCCAAATTACTGAAGGTTATTTTCCTAGTCAGATTAGGATCACTACTAGAAACATGACTTTTAGCGACGGAAAAATCCATCGCTAAAAGTCAAAAATCCGTCGCTAAAACTTTTAGCGACGGAAAAAATAAAATTCCGTCGCCAAAATACCGTTAGTACATTGAGGGTAGCTAAAATTGCTTTTAGCGACGGATTTTCCGTCGCTAAAATTTAGCGACGGAAAATTAGCAACAGAAAATCCGTCGTTCTATTTTTTTAAAAAAAAAGAAAAAAATTATTCCCGTCGCTAAAAGGGACATTAGCGACGGATTTTCCGTCGCTATAGACACTTTTAGCGACGGAAAATCCATGGCTAAATATTTCTAATATTTTTTTAAAAATTATTTTAAAAATTAAAAAAACCTATACAATAATATAATAAATTTAAAACCATGTTCAATCAGCAATATAATATTCATTCTCACGCATATATAACACATATATTTTAATAATAATATCCCAAGATAATTAAAATTGTTTATACAACACACACCATGATAAATATTGTTTATACAGCACACACTCATTGTTTTCAGAGGTAAAAAACAAATCAATCCTCCTGATCATCATCATCCTCATCACCAGCTCCACCTTGTCTAGAAGTCCAGGCCTACAAATATAAATCAAACATTAACAACATGGCATGACATGTAAGTATAACAATAAGAGAGTATCATGATATATTCTTATGTATTATATGTTTCGGAGGGAGTATCATGGCATATTCTTATGTATTATACGCACACACATATTCTTATGTAAAGATAGAAAAACTGAACAACAAATGGTTAAGGCTCATTTCCTAACACACCACGCCGATATCAACCCCTAACTAATATACTAAATATTTTTATACCGCTGCGTATCAGCATAGCAACATAAACCCTACAGAGTAAAAAAAAAAGACATTCAACGAGTGCCTACTCCATTCTATATCCCGCCTAGCTCAATTACCTAACTAACAAGTTCCATCCAACACTTAATTAATATGCATAAAAAGAACCTATCCAACACTAAACCAAAGTCAAAAGTGGCAAGTTACTTGTGACTTATGAACAACTTGATCATAACACATTTTGAATAATATAATTAGACTTTTCTTATTTACTTAAACTTGTATACATGAAAAAGGTTGAAAGAAGAATGACTTACGCTAAAGAAATTGGCTTGATTGCAAGATACATTTTCCACTGCAATTGATGAAATGGACCTGCACTCAACAAAGGGAAATTACCAATACAAAAATGAAATTCATTATTAAAGAGAAGAAAATTAGGAGAATTAAGAAAAAGGATACCCTAATTAGATCTTTGGACTTCATTTCATTTATGGTGTCACTTTGTAGTAATAGTTTGCTGCATATGATAATTAATAATAAAAAATAATATAAGGTTGAAACAAAAATTATAGTTCAACAGCTTAGACTTCATGGTATCGGAACATCAACTTTCTTCTACTTCTCCTAACAAAATTCAAACATGGAGTTATTTTGTCGTAATATAAAGCCCATTTATGAATAACTGATAAGAATTATATTAGCTTGATATATACACTGATAGTTCATTTAAAGTTCACGTGTAGTGATTCTTCTAAAATCTTCTGACAGTTGATTGCAGCCATATATAGGAATGAATTTGGATTAAAATAGAATAAAAATTTACAAGATGAAGAAACTTCAACTACACCTTTATAACTAATAAATTCCTTTTCTCTAGAAAAGATAATAAAGTTCTTTCATAGTTAAGGAAAACGTGCACAAGCCTACCGTAGTTGTTATATCCTAATATTCATAAGTCTCAAGTCCAACACAAGCAGCTTCAGGTGCAAGAGGAATTTCCTCATATTTCAGGAATTTAATTGCTTTAGGATCATAACGAAAGAAACCAAAGTGTTGCTTTTAACCCAATTATTTTACATGCATTTCCTCCCTCGATCACTTAAAACTTGAAACCTAGCGAAATAGTATTGCTTTTAACCACTGGCAACATTGCCGTAGAAATCAAAATCAAATGAAAGCACCAACAACAGAACGTTTAATCATCCTTAAAATAGACATCGACAACAAATCCGAGATCGTCTCGGAATTAAAAAAAATCCATTCTACCAAACGAAACTGACATGATATCTCGAAATTACTTTCATTTTTCTTTTTTCTTTTTTAAAAATCTTGCTAGATTGAGAGAAGGAAATGACCTAGTCGCCCTCTCAAAAACCCAGCTTGGTGCAGCGCCAGTGCCTGCGCTTCGTGTTGTACCTGACAAATTACATCAAAGACCAGAAGCAAGCGATCAAAACTTGCACCAAAAAATAAATAAATAAATAAATAAATAAGAGGCCGAGCGATGGAGACCTGAGACCCTGATTCGCGTACGGACCCAATGTGGAATGGGCCTGTTCTGCCTCATCTTCTTCGCCAACTTCTTCTTGATCACGAACGACTTGTGCGAAGGTTGCAGCGAAATCAAAAAAGGATGAGAAACCCTAATTCGCGAAATTAGGGAAGAAGTGAGATCGAGGGAGGTCTACCATTTTCGTTGTCAGACGATGGAGGCGGCGGGAACCCAAAAACCCCACCAAGCTCAAGCTCCTCCTAACCCTCCGGCAAGCCTCGACGGTGCCAACATCGCCGGAGAAACCGTCGACGAGGGATCGGAGGAGGGATTTGAGGAGGAAGGAGGAGAGGAGAGGGAGGGAAGCGGAGGGGAGAGGGTGGGGGGAGGAGAGGAGAGAGAGGGAGAGGGAGAGGAGGAGGAGGGAGAGGGAGAAGAGGAGGAAGGAGAGGAGAGAGAGGGGGAGGAGGGAGAGGGAGAACAAGGGAGGGATTGGGATCAGGAGGTAGAGGGAGATGGAGACGATCGACTGCCAGATTAGAAACCCTAGGTATCGGTTTTTTATGGTTTCGGTCGGCGATTGAGGCATGGCGATGGGTGCCGCTGAGATTTTCAGAGAGAGGAATTTCGGGGGGGAAGAAGAAAGGGAAGGGGAGAGGGCTCGAGGGTTTTTGTTTTTGGGTTTTTGATTTTTTTGATTTTGGACGGTTAGGATTTGGTCGAGCGGGAATCTTAAAGGAGACTTACTGTGCATACATTTTGAATTGAAGAAATTTTCTAAATAAACCCATGAGGAAATTTTCACTGTAGACCGGTTTTGGGTTTTTATTATCGAAATCGATTGTGTTGTGTTTTATTTACCGGAATCGACTCGGTTTCTCGTCACGTCAGCGCTGTGGCGAGAAAGCGGGTCGATTAATTTTTAAACGGCCTCGTAAACAGTCGGGGTTGTCAACCCCGACTGTTTAGTCGATCCGCTACGAGGCCCTTAACTAATTGGTCGGGGTTGGGGAACTTCGAATTGGTCGGGGTTCCCAACCCCGACCAATTAGCAGAGTCCACCCTCCGCTGGGTTTGGCCAGGGACGAATTGGTCGGGGTTCCCAACCCCGACCAATTCGAAGACCATTTCGGCGGTGCTTGGCCAAGGCAAAAAGTAGTCGGAGTTGGGAAACCTGACTACTTATTCTGGGCCCCCTCCAGTATAAAAGCCACCGAACCCTATTTCCCCCGATCCCATCTCATTTCTTCGCCTCCCTCTTCTCTCTTTCGTCCCCGTTCTCACGAAACCAAGCTTCAGATCTGGAATTTCAACTGGTTTCTTCGGCCGAAATTCAAATCAAAAGTTATCTTAAACTTCTTTAGGTAATTTATTCTACTCCTCTCCTCTTTTAACATGTAGAAATCTAGGATTTTTTCTTAAAAATAAATTTCTAGGGTTTTCATTCATAAATGAATTTCGTGGGTTAGAGTTATCGTTGAAATTCGTTTGTATGATGATTGTTATCGATGTAATTAACTTTTAGGGCATAGAATGTTCAATTGTTCAATTTTAGGGTTTAGGATTTACAATTTGGGAATTAGGGTTTTTGGTTGAAATTATATGAGATTATTTGCATATTAATTTAATTTTTTATATTTAAATGATATAATTTTCTTTTGAATAGGTTGAGCAATATGATTTTTATTGCTTGTTCTTATGGTGGGCAAATTAATTATGGGATGAATAATATGTCAATATACGTCGGAGGGGTAACGACGCCATTAATGATCTCGGAATCATATAGTTACTACGACTTGGTTATGGAATTACACCGAGTTACGGAAATTTACCCACGAAAATACCGACAGAAAATTATATACAATTGGCCCATAGCTATTGATAGAACATCCGCAGTGGAGATCTCGAACAATTATCATATGAGTATTATGTTTAAATTGGGCAAGTCGCAACAAACGGTAGAATTATTTATTAAAAAGTTGCCACATAATTCGTGCCAAATATTCAAACCTCCAGGAGAATTCTCACGCATGTTAGATATGGGAGTTCATTTCGATGGGTTTCTTTCTTCTTCGAATGAAATGGAGCGGGCTCAATTCGGTGGAACGTCAAATCTCATGAATAACGAAGTCTCTTATGGAAATATGGGGCCGTTAAGTGGGGCAACAATCGAAGAGGATGAAATAAGCAATGACTCGGGAGGTGAAGAACAATATAGTGCACCAGTTGATAGCATGCAATTTGTTACCCAAGATGTCGAAGATAATCCGGAATGGCCTGATGAGGCTTACGTTAATAATGACTACGTTGAGTACGAAGAACCACCCCCCGACGAGTTTGAAGATGATGAGTGGATTCGTTCTTCCACAGTAAAAGATATGTGCATCGGTGAAAGTTCAATTCGTAAAGGAGATGATGACGCCCCCTTTAAAGTTGGTGATTTATTCGAGACTAAGGACCAATTGGTTGATGCTATTCATGAATACTCTTTCGAAAAGAATTTCAAGTTCAAGCAAGTTAAAAGCAATCGCACAAGTTATGATGCAATATGTTTTATGAACACACAAAGAACAGGTCTGACCGAGGGAAATGAAGCTGATTACTCATGTCCTTGGAAGTTATATGCATTTGCAGGAAAGAAACACAATTTTCAATTTAGGATCAGTGAATACTGCGGTGTTCACACATGTGTCAATCCAATATTAGAGCAAGATCACAGTGGTGCATCTGCCTCTTACATAGCGCGGTTGATTATGCCAAAATTAAGGAAGAAGCTTGATCTAACGCCCGATAATATAATTGAGAAAGTGCTTGATACCAAGTTCATTAAAATCTCGTATATTAAAGCATGGAATGCAAGAAGAATTGCGATGACAAAAATATTTGGTGATTGGGACAAGTCTTACGCGACACTAGCTCAATATCTTGATGCGATCAAAAGAAGTAATCCTGGATCTGAATACAAACTCATAACCAAAGAGATCGATCCGGGAGTTCATCAATTCACCTCTGTTTTTTGGGTATTTGGGCCTTCGATTGAGGGGTTTAAATTTTGTCGGCCTATTCTTAGCATTGATGGCACACACTTATACGGTAAATACAAGGGTGTACTGCTTGTTGCTACAGGAGTTGATGCAGATGGTGGCTTATTTCCTTTGGCCTTCGCCGTTGTGGAGGTCGAGAACAGTGAAAATTGGGAGTGGTTTTTTTCTTGCATTCAATTATATATTTTTAATGTGTTGCCTCCTAGAAAAATTACCTTCATATCTGATAGGATGAAAGGTATTCCAAAAGCATTGTGGAGGAGATTTGGCTCTCATCACCATCATCGCTATTGCTTACGACACATTAGAGCTAACTTCAAAAAGAGCTTTAGTCAGATTCATTTACAAAACCTTTTGTGGCAAGCGGGTTGTACGCCCGAAACATGTGTGTATGATCGGATACGGGATCAAATCAAGGCAACATCTCAAGCTGCGCATGATTAGATTGAGAGTAGTCTGGGCAGTGATTACGTCGACCGGTGGGCACTTAGTAAAGATGGAGGGAATCGATTCTGCATGATGACAACCAATTGTTCTGAAAGCTTCAACGGGGTACTTAAGGGGCTCAGGCAATGCCCATACAGGCGTTGGTTGCGAGGACATTTTACAGACTCAATTACTATTTTGTCAAGCGGCGAGAGGATGGAGCAATGTGCGCCTCGTTCTTGACACCAAAAAATGAGGCGATTTTAGGAGCTTGAGTTAATCAGGCAAGGGGCACGAAGATTGTTAGATTTGCTGTAGATGAATGGGAGGTTACAGACAAACATGGTCACAATTACACCGTTAACTTGGGAGGTGCACATTGCACATGCACCTGTAACATACCAGAATTGCAAAAATTGCCTTGTTCACATGTTATAACGGTTACGTCCAAGCAATCGGGGGGTGCAAATATTTCGTATTACACATACGCTTCTGAGTGGTATCAATCAAGCAACTATAGAGAGGCATATAAGCAGTGTTTCCACCCCGTACATGATAGTCATTATTGGCCACACTATAACGGGCCGCATGTGGTGCCTCCAAGCTATAAGAGACCAGCCGGACGCCCGCGATCAGTACGCTTAAAAGGTACGATGGATGAAGGCCGGGAAGGAGCTCCGAAAAAAAATAGATGTGGATATTGCAAACAAGTCGGGCATAGAAGATCTCATTGCCCGACCAATCCAAATAGATAGCAATTAATTGGTACAATTTTATACATTTGTAATTTTATTCTAACTCATTTATAGATTAATGGATCATCATTATATGTGCAGATATTTGTAATTTTATACATGTGTCAATCCAAATAGATAGCAATTAATGTGTAATTTTATACATTTGTAATTTTATTCTAACTCATTTATAGATTAATGGATCATTATTATATGTGCAGATATTTGTAATTTTATACATGTGTCAATCCAAATAGATAGCAATTAATGAGTATAATTTTATACATTTGTAATTTTATTCTAACTCATTTATAGATTAATGGATCATCATTATATGTGCAGATATTTCAGTTATGGAGGCGGGTCCATTGACACATGATGTCCTTTATGACCAAGAGCGCCACCGATCCGCAAAGATAGACGCTAGGGAGGTAAAGTGCATTTTAATTATTTTCAATTATATATAAATTTCAATGTAGTTGATTGTTACTGAACATTTGCACTGTTTACTACATGCAGGCCCCGAGTATTACTGTTGTCGATCATACCCGTGCACACTCTAGCTGGGAGTTGACGGATCCACAGATACAATATTATGTGCGTCAAGCCGGCTTTTTTGAGTGTTCACAAATTAAATGGGTAAGACTTGATTGGGCACTTTTGACGGCATTGGTTGAACGATGGAGGCCCGAGACAAATACTTTCCACCTGCGCCAAGGAGAGACGACGATTACCTTGCAGGATGTTGGGGTTATACTTGGCCTCAGAGTAGATGGTGATGCAGTGACGGGCACCGATGACTTCCACTATGCCAGCGCGTGTGAAGAATTGTTGGGTCACTGTCCTACAATGAAGGGGTAAAGATCAAACTCGAATGGTTAAGGAATAACTTTATGAATGTACCGATCGATGCGACTGATGAGATCATTTGGTTAAGGAATAACTTTATGAATGTACCGATCGATGCGACTGATGAGATCATTAAGAGCTATGCCCGTGCATATATTTTACATATGATCGACTGATGAGATCATTAAGAGCTATGCCCGTGCATATATTTTACATATGATCGGTACTATTCTGTTTCCAG